GATAAAACAGAAGTGCCTTAGGATACTTCTACAAGCTCCGGCTTCTCCAGAGTTGTGTATAAAGAGGATGGAAGCAATAAACTGTAGAGAAAAGACGCCATAGCAAGAATCCCGACAACAGTTGTACAAGGATGATGAAGCTGTATGTTGAGTAAGTTCAGAAAATGAACAGGCTCTTCTATGACTAAGAATAACTAGAGAGCTTCCGTATGCTTTAAGGCACAAACTGATGGCACGGCTGGTAACTCTAACCTGGCAAAATGCTCATTGTAATTGGCTTTTAAAATAAAAATATCTGGCCTGGTCCACATGCATTTCGCCAGTACATTCCAGTTAATTAGCATCAGACAGAAATCTGTCTTTCCTGTCCATATGGAGTTTGCATTTTGTGAACTGGACCAGGTGGAGATGGCAGAGAGGAGGAAGATGGGAAGGATGTGTTTTCTTCCAAGGCTATAGATATCCACCACTGGTCAAAAGAGAAGGAAAACACAGTTGCTCTTTAAGCATTAGAGGCCATTAGAAATTGCCTTAGCATAAGCTTAACATGCTTATTTCTGAAACAAGTTCAGCATATTAATACTGATGCTGTAACAGTAACTGAATATTACAGGAAAAAATGCTGGTTAAAAATGACAAATTCTTATTCTTTTTGTTAGAAAATCCTTGTTCTCTGCTCGTATATTTCACCTAAAGAAATTCTGTCTCCCTCTTTAGAGAGCGTTAATTGATAAACTGCTCCTTGATTTCTCTCTTGCCTTGTTTAGGAGGTCAAAGGCTGGATGAATTGTTCGGGTGAGCCATGTATGTTCACCCGGCAGCTGGCTGGCCTGACAAATAATCTGCCATAAAACAATTCAGATCTGAATTTCCAGACCTTAATTGCTCCATGGTAAAGAGCCCAGACTGCTCTTACCCTGCAGCAAAGTAGTTTTACCCCTCTTTCATTTAATCAAATGTTATTCATTCAAACTGAATGAAAGAGCAGTACCCATTTGCTGCAGGATATATATGCGCACAGACAATTACGGCTTAGCTATCCAGGCTGTGCAAGTTCATACTTTAGCTTACCTCCAACAGTTTACAAGACTAGAGGTGGCCTGTAGAATTTAGAATGAACAGGTAAGTCAAAGCATCCATTAACCTTGTGCAAGCATAGAACAATATTTCCCCTTTTTCTGGGTATCAAAAGCCTTTCTTTTCTGTTACACCTTTGATACAGCACTCCCATTAGTCATTTGCCCTTCTCTAAGTTTTAACAAGAGACACAAACCAGCATTTATTGTTTTTCTCTAAGCAAAGACAATCTCAAACCACCCCTAGACAACTCCCTTGAATGAGGATATGACTCAGGTTTCATTTGTTTCCTGTCCTGGTATGCTCTCTTTTGACACATCTACAAGTTTAGTGATGCCTGGAGGAAACAAACAGGTCAGAGCTGGGATTTCTCAAAATTCGTTTTATTTGATGATAAAAAGGCCTGTAAATTATGGCCTCTATAAAGACTGCAACATCTGTTATATGTACAAAATGTATAGCATTGTGGGTAGGGCTCTGCAAAGACATACCATCCTCATAGCTATTACTCACCAGCCAAACCTCTGCTACAGCAAAAGCAGAAGCAGGGTCTTGCCAGAGGCCAGCGGGAACAAGCTTAGGGAAAACAGCTCCCTGTAACCTTGTAAGACCTTACACCATGGCAGTGACCCTTTCAATCATACTTGCTTTCCTTATATGCAAATATTAAGGTAATCAGTTACTGGGAAAGCTAAATCTCAAGATTTCTATGGTACCTCAATATTCATGACTCAGACTGACATTATTATTCTCACCCGCTGAATACTACTTTGCTTCCTACCGCTTTGTTCTCCTTTCAATCTCCTTTTACACTACATTACAAAGCTAGAACCTCTTGGCAGCTTCTGATGAATGTCTTAATGAACACAAAATGGAAACGAGAGAAAGTAATTGGGAAGTAAGAACCATCATGGTACAATGAGTGATGAATACTCGCTGTAATTATAAAATGTGTGCAATACTAGGCTATATGGCCCAGAAGGTTGTTTTTTAAGGATCTGAAATTTAAGAGCTTTATCAAAATATTTTCAAATATTTAAATGGACTTAGGCCACAGGTAATGCAGAGATCACTCATTAAGACAGAAAAAATGCTCAACTGTTGTTTACAGAGGTATTTGTATTTCACTTTTTTCCCCTCTTTCTTTCAAGAGACTTGTTGACATACTACATACATTTATTCACTGCTGACAGCATGCTTGCCTACTGTACTAAACAGTTCAAGCAGTGAGAGAAAAACTACACTTTCCCACAATAACTTATTTTCAAGACAATTCAGCACAATGGAAAGCTTTCTCCTAACTATACTTTCAGAGGCTGAAATACAACACTTATCATTACCTTGCAGTAGCACTAACAGAAACTTATAAAGGTACTGTAAAAAATAAAAAGTTCAAGCGACAGAAGAAAACTGAGAAGCTGCTATTAGGAAGTGATAATGGTTACCTTGTTTTCATTCAAACATGAAAAATGCTATCTGAAAAGCAGGTATTTACTGCTCTTTGTGTGACTGAATGTAAATACTTAAAAATATTTATCTAATTTATTACCATACATGACAAAAGCTAATGATAACATTGTCCAGTAACTCGTAGCATGACACTTGGGAAATATTTAAATAAGTAGGTATGTGTACAGGTGAGTCTCAGGGTGAACTGGTACCACTCAGAAAGGATCTGAAAATATCTGGAAAAGGCGCTGTGAGCACTGAGGATGGGAAGTATCTCTGACATGATACTATTTGAAAGGATCACAGTGATGTATGAATCTGGTTCTGCTGCAGTTTACTTGGGATAACTGAAATTTAGTTAACATCTTGGCATCTTAAAGTTAGTTAAGCAAAGGGAATAGTGATTTTTTTTCAAATGTGTATAAATATGTTGTATTTGGCCGTCTTGAAAATAATGAGGAAATTTAAAATTTAGACCTCAAAAGAGGTATTTATCTTTTGATAGGTAGGTATCTAACTGATAAGACATTTCCGCACAAAGAATAATTAGACTGAGAAATATTTTGTTACATCACTGTAAACATATACAGCTGCATTTGGGGAAAGGATACAAACTCTTCCCTTCTGTAACTGGAATAAAAATTTTAAATGAGAGAAAAATAAGAATTTGGCATGTTCTTTCCCCAAATCTCAGCTAATTTGTCTGCAATGCTGCTTCATATCCTGTGGCAGGAAGTAAAAAAAGATACCTAACAAATTGTTGATCTGGGGGATTTCTTCGTGTCAAATTTCACACCATCAGATGTTTACATTTTCTCTCGAGTACTCTAGCCATTTCTTTATTTCAAGGGTTTGGCAGCTTTGAAATACTTTCATTCCAAATGCTTTAATTCCCTCTTACTCCCATTCTCTATCAAGATTTCCTTTGACAGGGTGCCTTTTATTAGTTCTTTACATGGCTAAGCTCATGACTTCTTAACTTACGACTGTAAAATGAACTGCTGCTATAAACTGGGAGTTCATCAGTTGATGGAGGAATGAAATAATGAAAAAAGAAAAAGACTTGGATATCATAGGAGTAAGTATGGGCCACTAATACAAGTCCACAGGAGAGGTTGTATTGAGGTCATTTCCAACAGTGAAAGGTACACACTGATACCATTTTAAAGCTAGTGAAGTCTTACTGCTGGAAATAGTTCTGTTGAGCTTTACCTACAGTTCTGGACAGCCATGCTCAAGTAAGATGAATTTGTATCAGGATGAGTACAAAGAAGGGTTGCAAGACTGATAAGGGGAATGGAGATTCTAACCTGCATGAGGTGCCCAGCCCTTGAGTTATGCACTAAACAAATAAAAAAAGAGTGCCCCAACCCTCCCAACCTCAAAATACACAGATTGCTCTCTACAACTAAATACTTTGGAATAAAGAAGAAAACAAGTATTCTTTAAGTTAACTGACAGTAAAGATTTAGCAACAAGTCATATATAGAGGTCATTTATAATAAAAATTGAAGGAAATAGATGGAGTGTTAGAAAATGTTGAAAAATATTGTTGTTTTTTGATTTTGCAGGTCATGATATTAGCCTGCATCCACCATATGGGTACATTTAAGGATAAAGGAGTTTGTGTCTGAAACAAGGATGTGCAGAAGATGAAGGTAAGTGAAAATGAATCTCAGAGCTATAATCTCTACTAGCATACAACTGAAGTCCTTGAAAAGTCATAACAAGATATGACTCAACTCATTTGACAGGTGAAAGAAAGGACAGACATGAAAACATATTAAATTGGCAAGTGGAGTTCCATTTTATCTATTCAATCTTAAGCTAAAGAGCAGTACACAAATATACTAAACTCATGGAAAGACACCAAAAACCCAAAGCAAAACCCACTTTGTTTCTTTTTATGTGACAGGTAAAAATGAGTTGCAGTGTTGATATCGGTGACACAGGCTTAATTCTAGGATATCTTGAGTATGGGACTAATGTTCCACGGAGCACCACAGGCATCACAGAGGAAGATTCCCTCACAGCTAATATATATGCGTAACGGTAAAGCACTCTCCAGAACTCAGGCCTTAGCTAATGAAGACTGTCAAGAATTCCCTTGGACAGTAAAAAAGCTAAGGATCTTTCCCCTAATAAACACACTCGAGAAATAACCCAAATTTCTGTTGGTTTATGTTCTATGAAGTCTGTCTTTGATACCATCCTGAAGAAGCTATTAATTTGAGGCAAAGCTGTATGCTTGGTACTGACTTTTCGACACTTAACTGTTTTGATATAAAGCAACAGTCACCAAATGATTAAAAGATGAAAACAAATCTCCTTGAGCAATGTACACTCTTCATTACTTACACAACTATTGTTTCTGTATAAAGGACATTAAAAATGAAATAAACTTTTTAACTTAACACAGAACCCTTTTACGGCAAGAAAAACAACTAGCCACAAAAAATCCAATCTATAATTACCTGGTTGGTAGAAATTTGGTGAAAGTTCTCTGGCAACTGCTCTTGCAATATCACATTCCTGGCGAGCAGCCTGAGCAGCCTGATCCGCAGCATCAGCTTTAGCTCTTGCATGTGCAGTTCTGTATGGAGTAGAAAACAGTTTAAATGCAGAGGAGTCTTTTATGACTTGCATCAATAATGTGCGAGCAAAGGCCTGCTGTCCTCAGCTACCATACACTACACTATATAGTACACTCATGCCCACTTGCTATAAGTAACTGCAAATCAGTCACAGTATCTCAGAATCAACAGGTTATTCCTCTCAGTTCTTTAGTCCTGATCACCCTTGTATCACATTTACTTGTAGGCACACAGTTTATAACCCAAACTTATAGTTAGAATTTCTAACTAGAAAAAATAGCATCGACTGAAACCTGGGATTATGATTTTAATACATGTTACCAGACTGTCTACAGAAGGTCAGACTGGGCCACCACACTGACTCCTAAACCAGGGTCTGTGAGCCCAGGATACACGGTGTTCAAGCGGACTGCAGAATGCTATTAACTTTACAACATTTCAAAGATAATATTCAGTGCTGGGTTCCATGTAAAATTTTTTGAAGGGAAAATTCAGCTGTGTTGGCCCAAAAAACTGAGAAATGTCTTCTACAATCAGACCATGTTAGAAAGGAATGTGATGGAAAATGTGTTTGACGCTGGAATAAGCATTTGTATAAATGGGGACTTAACAGTATTAAATTCTCATAACTCACTGAATTTCAAATCCAAAACAATTTGAAAAGGCAACTTTTCTGAAGTCAAGACAACAGTTTGGAATACTTCCATAAAGTAATCTGCCCTCTGCTTCCACTTTCTTTCCTTCTGCTATTTCTTAAAAAGCTTCAAGAACAGCTCGTGCAAGCGTCTCTGATTCCAGACTGTGCAAACTGATAGTTGTGTTACTGCAGGATTGCATCACTGTTTGTCCCATCTTCCGTCCCCACTTCATTTTTTAAACAGTCATCTATTTAGAAATTCCTGATGGCAGTGATCTCTCTGTGCCTCTACAGCATTAGCACATAGCCTAGAGCTATGAAATGGTTCATTAGAACGGAGGGGAAGCTAAACATGGCAAACCAGTACAGTTTTTTGAGCCTTGAGAGATATTAATAACGTTTCTAAACCAGATATATTAAATTTCATGATCCCAGGAATTTTCTCGTAACATTCGAGTAGAAAACTGACACTTAAGTAAGAAAAAAATTAGTTAAGAGGACAACAGCAGCAGCAACTTTTATCCCATGTGCTTGGTGATACTAAATCAACAGCAATCAAACAAACTAAAATTTTCAACAACTTTGCTGTAAGAATTCAGTTTTATTTTCAAGGAATAAAGATATGTGTTTCAGACGAAGCAAGAATTAAATGTTAGCATTAACCAGAATGAGCACCAAGAGATTAACAGTATGGCAGACTTTGCATTTCTAAAAGGATTTTTAATCCCGTAGGGTACTAGTATAAACACAGACATAAAAAACCCCACACAGACAGTTTCATTGGTGATGCCTGGAGAAGATTTACTGAAGTTACATCCTCCCTAAAATGTGTGCACGATAAATGTTGAATGTTATTTCAAAGCTGAGCTTGTCATCATTTACTGGATAAGTATCAGCTCATGCTGCCTTCTCACAGGTCCCTCTAGGTCTCTGAGAAAAAAGGTAATGAGCAAATAAGCAATAACACCTTCGACTTGTACTCAGGATGGGGTAAAGAAACTGTTAATCAAAACAAATACACCGTATAATCCCATATGTGTTCCATGCAGTTCATGAATGGTTGTACGGTATGTGCTTGCTTAGTAACAGTGATCAAACCCGTTCTTTCTCTATAATCATTATTTTCAATTAGATGAGCTATTCTTAGCTCCTGCATAATTATGTCTATGTAGCGTAAACTTAATGAAGCAATCCTAGCACTGGGACATTGTTTTGTGAGACAATAATGTAGTCTGCACATAGATAAACTAGACACTGCTCATCCTTTTGTGATGATAGAACAACCAGACTATTCCCATATAAAAATAATCTAATACTATTGCCACCACTGCAACAGACATTTTAAAAGTTGATATACTAAATGAGAGGCATCAGGAAAACATATTGCCAGGATAGTACAATTATTTATTGATGCCTGTGAATTTTCTGTATCATTATATCCAAGAAGCAAATCATACATCCTGTCCAAACATACAGTATCCATTAGTTAAGGAATTAAACAGTGACATGGGTAATAACCTAGGGAAACTCTTGTCACATGAAGCTGGGCAGAAGCAAGTCACAGCAGGAGGAAGCCAGTGGAACAGAAGGTAAATGAGCGCTGCTTTCCTCAGCTACTTTATCTCACACCTTTTTTTTTTCCCACCTCGCACTTCCTGCTATTCTGCCCCTTTTGTACACGCAGTCAGGAGTTCCAGCAGACCAGAACAGGAGTGACTCTTCAGACGTGAACGCTGCCAAGGCATGTCTCAGCGACACACTTGAGCAGAGCCTCAGTGCTCTGCTGTTGCTGAGAGACACCGCAGCAAGAGGAACTAAACACGCACAGGCGGGTAAGGCGCAAGAAGGGTGGTTTATGCTCCCCAGGAGGCCTTCGACCAGCCAAACAGAAGTGTGCGCCCGTGGCTGTGCTGAGGCTCTTCCCCAACGGCCTCTTCAGCAAGCATCGTCGAGGAGTTATAGCAAATGGGAAAGAAGAGGAGAAACCGGCAGAGCCGGTGCTTCCGTACAGAGCAGAAGCACTGTGCTTCACCTGTGAACGCCGGCTCTTCATTATTTGCGTTATTTGCCATTTATCACCTTGGCAGTTAGATGCTGTACAGGCTAACCTCAGCACTGCGTACTTTATTGTCGCAATTTGCAACTCTATATTCAGGCATTTCTTTCACTTCCTGCACACTTACTTGTGTCAGACTCAAACAATTTTTCTATTGCTATTTGATTTCTTGTTTTTTTTTTTTTATTCTGACTTCCACACCTGATTTGTCTGTATGTTTTCCAAATCACCTGCTTACAGTTACTGCTGCGTGGCACTATATTTTGTTTGTACGTTTTTATTCTGCCTTGTGCTGACCCCCACACTATCAGAGTGTTATTATCAGAGACTATGGAGAAATATGTTAGTTTTGAATGGCAACGTTTATATGGGAGAGCTATCAGAGCAGGGCAGCCCCATTGAAATAGAATCCATTTACTCCATTTATGCTTTAATTTGGGAAAGCCTTCTTTACCTTTTGTTCCTGGAGTAATTTTTTCACTGTAAAGTCTTGAAATTTTGTTTACTATCAGTAATTATTAATGGAAATTTAAGTGTCATAATGACCCACATTTGAATGACCACCATCTACTTGAGAATTGCTTTTTTCCCCCAGAACACTCTACATCTTTTGCTGCAACAAGAAATCTTTATGAGAACTTTTGAAAGAGAAAACTCAAAAAAAGGTCTCCTTTCCTCTCTCCCAGCCTAGAAAAAGACTGCAGTAGGCTTTGTGTGCTGTTCCACACATTCTCCAGGAATGGTCAATCTGAAGTTTCATCAGCAGAATAGAAACTATGCACAGAAGTAGGCAGCAATCCACAGACTCAAAAGAATATAGGAAAATAAGGGGTGACCTGCTTTGCAATGCTGCATTCAGGTTTTAACCCACAGCAAAGGACCTTTAATGATTCTTCTTTTAGGTGAACAGGCAGTCCTTTGTAAAAAATCATTCTGGGCAACTGAAACACATATTACTAACTCTTGAACTGCCATGTATTTTTTTACATACATATCTACTTGAAAGTATCACCCTACCATTAATATTCCATGTGATGCCTCAAACATGTGCTTGAAAGCTTTCAAACCAATATGCAAGTATTTAAAACAAAACCAATCCATATCTAGAGGGACAATCTACCACGTAACTAATGAGTTCACAGTGGTGGTAAATGCAGTCAAGACAGAGACAAAATTAAGTTCCATCTGTGGTGGGAATCAAACTGTAGGTGCACTAAGAAGGAACCCACAGCTGTAGCTCAGGTGGTGTGCTGGTACCAGGTGACTGCATGTGGAGTCCCCCCTATATCTACCAGTCTCTGTCATCAGTGAGTGAGGGCTGGAGGACCAACAGTTAACTGAATAACTTTGCTATTGTTAGGAATTTTATTTGGACTCCTATCAGGGTCTGATTTTGAAAGAAGCCTAAGCTTTCTAGACTGTGGGACAACTGATATCATTACCGATACCTTTCTTTTCTGTGTTTTGTTGGGTAGGTAAACATAAACATTATCTTAGCTACACTGAAGAGATTATAAGCACAGTCAGGGGCTTCTTATAAGCAATCTCCCCTTCCAGCAATACTACAATCAGATTTCTATCTACTTAAGTCTGAAAAGTGACTTGAAGGAGGCGTATTGAGGGCTGGAAGAGCTTAAACAACATTATTGAGCATTCTGCAGCAACAATGCTTATATAGAATACCATGTGTCTGGAATGCATTATGTAATGGTTATCTAAATTTAAAACCCATTTAGAACTGTCCATTACCCTCCAGATTATTTTGTATTTCCATGGTATCCTTCAGCACACTTGTAGTGCTGCCTCATTCAGAATCAACTAAAAATGTAAGCAACATATGTTTACTTTGTTTCATTTTTCAGCTTTTATTAAACTTAGTGATTTCAGCAGAAAGCTTTCCAGGAGCTTGCTTTCTATTTCTTAAAATAATACAAATAATTTTCTCTGTTTTCTATTTGTCAAACATATGAAACAATTAGGTTCCTATCAAATTATCCTAAATTAATAATCTCAACAATGTTACTTATTAACAGACTTCCATATTATCAAAAAAAATCAGTAAGGGCTAAACGTACATGACGTTCTCAGAGATATATTTAATTAATGACAGCTATCAGGTTTGTCTGAGTAATATTTCATATTGTGGGTTATTACCCATAGCATCCTTTTTGACACTGGAATAGTCTAAAAAACAATCCCATTTTCCTAAATGCTAAAATCCAGTGATTTTTCTAGAAAACAAAGAATATTCTGTTGGTTTTTTTCTAGGTATGAAACTTTCCAACATTTTTACATTTCTTTCTATT